AATATGGAGATGAGACGTCTTAGACGTGATGCTTCGGCATAGGCCTTGGATAGGTCAGCCCTGTCAGACTTAGCCGTGTACCTTGGGAACTTCCCCTTTTGCTCTAGCCCCGACCTTCGTCTTCTTTGAGTCTGGCCCCGACGAGCTCCGAGGGAGGGGACTCGGTCGCGACTCCACGTCCTCGGGGTCTCGAGGTATTCTTCCGAAATGGTTTGATAGCGAGAAATTGAGTCCTCTGATTTTGCCGCATACACTTTTCAGATTTGATCAAGTAATAGGTGATGAACGCCCAAGCCTAAATCCCTTTTTTAAAAGAATTAATTTAAGCTTAACCCTTTCAATTAAGTGTAATTTTCCTCTAAAAAGAAAAAGAAAAAAAGCTTAGATTAAGAGCTAACACTTGTAGTTGCTATAGTTAAATACATTTCCTTTAAAAAGAAAAAAGGGTTGAGGTATGCCATATTAGATCATCCATGCCCTCACAAATATTGTAACTTAGATATTAAAAATGAATCTTCGTAGTTGGTTTAGGCGCGCTACATTAAATTATCATGGCTACAGGGTACGACTCCCGTGACGTAGTTGTGATTGCTAAAATCCGGGTGTACATTTAATGTGACCCGACTTCAATTTCCAACAGTGTTAAATAAAATGTGTCGCGAACCGTGGGTGCATTTCATATAGCGTGGTTTAAGATATGTTTTAAATAACATTGAAATATCCTAAAAATAGTAAAAGTGGTTAAAAGTCGTAAAAATGCACATAGGTTTAAAATGCGTAATTAATCAAATAATAGACCAATATTAACAGTTTCAGCGACCGTGCTAGAACTACGGAACCCGAAAATGCCTAACACCTTCTCTCGGGTTAACAGAATTCCTTATCTAAAATTTCTGGTTCACAGACTTTAAAGAAATAAAAATTTCCTCGATTTGGGATCTTAAAATAAACCAGTGACTTGGGACACCAAATAAACTATTTCAAGTGGCGACTCTGATAAATTAATCCTATTTCAAATAATGTCACTTTAAATGAAAAAACTCCCATATACCCTCAGGGTGTAAGAAGGAGGTGTGACAATCGCTGGGTAGGGGTCTCTCTCTGCGACTCCGATCGGGCACCATCTACTGGGGGTACCATACTAGTCCCCTCACCTATTGTTGTTTCTCTCCTCTGGCTAGCCGAGTCTTCCTAGTTACCATCATCTATGAATGCAAACGTCAACACGTAAGTTTAACTCAAATTTCCTATAACTTAGTGCTACTACAACACGATTTAGATTTGAAAGAAAGGTAACCAACTCCTAAATGCCTTGTAGTCCCCTGCTTATATAATATGGTACACCACACATTTATGAACAAGACCCTACTAGACATAGCTTGTAGACTCCCTAGGACAGAACTGCTCTGATACCACTTTTGTCACACCCCAAGCCTAGGGGCGAGACCGGCACTCAGTGCCTCACCTATCTTGTGTATCATGCGACTAAGAGTCTCTGAACATGTAATGTCATACTTTAGCAATGGGCCACATTGCAAGATAATGTGCGATGCAAAATATAAAAACTGAACAGATACGTTGACTTAATGTCAACATAAGGCTGGGCCGACAAGGCTGTCATAATTACTTCAACTAACAAGCCAACAAAATATACATACAGGTCCTACAGGCCCAACATACTGCACTAACTGACAGGATATGTCTACAAGCCTCTACTGATAGATGTACTATGATCGGAATAGGGCACCGACATACCCATATCCTATCTACATATATACACAAGATGCACACCAAAACTTCTAGACCTGGCAACTCCGAAGGATGGGTAGCTTACTGATAAAGCTAAACTTGGGCAAACACCTATTGGGGAGGTCTACCTGTCTGTCTGTCTGAACCTGCATGCATGAAATGCAGCGCCCCCAAAAAGGGACGTTAGTACGAAATAATGTATCGAGTATGTAAGGCAATATACTGAAGCTGAAACTGAACTGATAATATAATAACTGAAAGCAACTGGGGATCAAAGATAATCTAAGGATATGCTCATCAGCTGATACTGACTCAACTCTCTCAATATAGTGAGTAAAATAGCTGTCTGACCCAATAAGGCTCGGTGTGTGTGTATATATATATATATATATCTCTGCTCTGCCGTAGTAGGATCGCTCATAGGCGCTCGACCATACTAGGCTTTCTATCCCGTCCAATTAGGCTCGCTCATAGGCGCTCGACCACAGCAGGCTCGGTATATAACTTACCATCTGATCAGAGGTTGCCCAATAAGGGCCTTCCAATCGATTATAGCTCGATGGTAGTGAAAATACATTAATACTGTATATATAAATTCTCTACTCTCTTGCTTGGAATAAGGAGATACTCAATTGAATATGAAGTCCTGATGCTATAAAAATTGAATTCATTGAGGATAATAGCATTTTACTTGTATACAAAATGTAAGGATAACTGTAGAGTGCAGGTCATTTTTTTATGCTTGAATTGAGATACAGATAACTCACATGACGCATCGCCAGCACCAATATCTCCACTCTCGAAAGAGTCAAAGGGTAAGCGAACCACATCATCAGCCAAGCCTGATTAAACACAACGGAGGGCTGTACTAGAGTCCACACCTCGAAACGAAGAGAACATACCGAACCTCAGAACATCACCTATACATCCCGCGGTAAAGAAGAACTACCTCACTCCTTCGTTATTTTTTCACTGAACTGTATGCAGACAATCGGCTAGGGCATTCGGAAGTTCTAACTCTACTCGGAGACCCCAAGGCCTTAACAAAACCGTCGCGCTCTTTCCTCTCGGTCGAATTTCCGCCCTGAAGAGGGTCTCGCCAGCAAGGTTCTTAGCGGAGCAACGTACCCCCTTAGGAGGATCCGACAATACCACAGGCATTCTTTTGCAATCAAACGATGAGGGACATCCCCCCCTTTTTTTTGAAGATGCCATCTGCTCGGAAGGGTCGGGGAACAGCAGACTGAGTTTCAATAGGGAATCATGTACCAGACCAAACGGTCCGAGGAACCGCCCCCACACGGGCCGAGCTCACAACAATGAAATGATATGTATTTACGCCAAGCAATAAAAGAATATCTTTCAGTGTCTCATACTCCAAAGAAGGAAATTTCAGCATACTCTCGACAGGGATCCCTCCACCAAATGCATCCTGAAATACTCGAATACTTAGCGTCAACTATTTGGCAACCGCACGACCCCAGGGTCGGAACTCCGGGCTCATAAAGCTCCAACAAGGTAACTCCGAGCTCACAATTAACGGTCTTCGAGCCTAAGCAAACCCGATGACTTAGAGACTATCTCCAATCGCCGTACACTGGAAAACACGAGGCTATAAGACCCCGAGCGGGCAGACTCAGTATAACCAGATATATTCTACATTGCAACAAAAACTGTAAGACCTCAACAAGCATGACAAACTGTAAGACCCCAACAGGCATGATAAACTGTAAGACCTCAACTGGCATAACAAACTGTAAGACCTCAACAGGCATAAAAATTTTGTAAGACCTTACTACAGGCGTAAAACTCAATCCCGAAGTTTGGACGCCTAAACTATCACTCGGGATCAAAATTGGTTCCGGCCAAACACATATGACTACGGTCAAAATGGCTGCAAGTTAGGTATGAATTATCACCATTTGTATGATAATGTCTCGTTTTCTTGTTGCTACTTTAAGCATGTTTCGGTTCTGTCAAAAGAATGACATTTATTAATAGTATCACGACCCCGGTTCGCCCTCCGTGAACCATCATAACGGCACCTAGTGTCTACGACTAGGTAAGCCTAACAATGCGAAAAATAAACAAATTTGCGGAAGAAATAATAAAAACGAAATAGTGAAGCAAAATAGTGTTTAAAAGTGTCGCCCGACATACACAATATCAACTCTCGAAATCTGAATACATTTCCCAAAACCCAGAATCTCATGATCACAAGCCTTTGAATGTCTATAAATATCTAACTCCAAAATATCTATCCAAAGGAAAAAAGAAAATACAGAAGGGCTAATACTAAAAAGGGGAGTAGAAAGGGACTCTTCGGTCTGCAGACGCGGAAGATATACCTCGGAGTCTCTATAAGCACCTCATCTCAAGCGTGATGAGTCTGAGTGGAGGTACCTGAATCTACACATGAAAAACATGCACAGAAAGGGCGTGAGTACACCACAATGGTACTTAGTAAGTGTCAAGCCTAACCTCGGTCGGGTAGTGATGAGGAAGGTCAGGGCCCTACTGAGATTAAATAAAATATAAGGTGTGATAGTATACGATAAAGCAGTACAATTGGAAGATATTAAAAGAATCAATATAGGATAATAAGGATAACTATAACTAAAACAGAAACAGAAACAATCACCAGGAATAACACTCTTCTCAAAGATAATGACCGGGGATCTCTCAGTATTCCAAGGATCTCTTAGTACCCTCAATACATGCCAGGGATCTCTTAGTATTCCGAGGATCTCTTGGTATCCTCAACATAAGCTAGGGATCTCTTAGTATCCTGAGGATCTCTTGGTATCCTCAATATACATGCTAGGGATCTCTTGGTATCCCGCACCTCAACTCAAATCATAAATACGTGCAGGCGATCTCCCGAGATGCTATCCCGTTGTCCCAAAGTAAAACACACCACAACAACAGAAGGAATACTAAATTAAGCTGAATTTCGTACCAAGTAAAAATAGATAATTCTAACCTAACATGCTTCACATAATACAATTTCGACAGTTTAAACAATAAAGCAATTAAGTACATTAAACATGCTTTTCTAAGCTAATAGAAGATTTAAATTTCAAGTAGAGTAAGCAAGAAAGGAAAAACACAATTAAAGCTACTTAAGTGAAAACAGGATTTTCAACAATTAGCATAAGTACGCACTCGTCACCTCACGTACAAGGCATTTCAATTACCATAATACCAAATCCTAAGGTAAGCCACTTACCTCGAGCCAGCTCAAAATCAACCTGAAACCATGCTCTTGCCACGAGTAGTCAACTCCAAATGGTCCAAATCTATTCAATTCAATTGCATAATGTAAATAACACTTCAAATAACTGATTCCAGAAAGAAATTCTAAGCTAATACGCGAAATAAGGTAAAATAACCAAAATGTCCCTAAAGCCCACATCTCGGAATCGGGTGAAATTTACATTTTCAGAATTCTCATACTCCCACGAGTCTATACATAACAAGAACACTGAAATCGGGGTTCAATTGGCCTCTCAAATACCCATTTTAAGGTCTCTTAATCTCAAGCCCTAATTACCCATTTTTCCAATTTTTTCACAACTAATTAGGTCCTCAATCACATATAAACGAGTTATGAAGTCAAAATTGTAACCTCCAAGTGATTCCCCTTTGGTTTCCTCAAAAATCACCCTCAAAAGCTTCAATCCCGTTCAAAAATGGTGGAAAAATGAAGAAGGGTCGTGGATGGGCTATTTAAATACTGCCCAGATATTCCTTCTTCGCGAACGCAGAAGGCCCCTCGAGTTCGCGAAGAACAAATTAACTTGGGTCCAGATTCCTTCATCCTGAACGCGATGCCCAGGTTGCGAACGCGATGCAACACTTCCTCCTCCTACGCGAACGCGGAAACACCATCGCGAACAAGTAGACATAAAACTCCCAACTTCACGAATGCGAAGCATAAATTCCTCACCGGCCCCAGCTTCTCTTCGCGAACACGAGACCCCACTCGTGAACGCGAAGAAGGAAACAAGAACTGACTGCTGTAACATTTTTCTGCAATTTCTAAGTTCCAAAAATGACCCTTTGAGCATCCGAAACACACCCGAGGCCCCCGAGACCTCAACCAAACATGCCAACCAATCCTAAAACATCATTCAAACTTGTTCTAATTTTCGGAACGCTCAAAACAACATCAAAACACCAATTTATCATTGGATTCAAGCCTAAGAACTTCAAAAACTCTCAAAATATGCTTTCGATCAAAACGACTATCAAACCTCGTCCGAATGACCTGAAAATTTGCACACACGTCACATTCAACACTATGGAGCTAATCCAACTTCCAAAATTCCATTCCGGCCCTCGTATCAAAATCTCACTATCAAACCGAAAACTTCAAAAATTCAACTTTCGGTATTTCAAACCTAAATTAGCTACAGACCTCCAAAACACCATCCGAACACGCTCCTAAACCCGAAGTCACCCAACTGAGCTAACGGAACCATCGAAATTCCTTTCTAAGGCCATACTCACACTGTTCTGACTACGGTCAAGTTTCCAAAACTTAAGCTCTCATTTAGGGACAGTGTGTCCTAAAACTCTCCAAAACTCAAAACCGAACATCCCAGCAAATCAAAATAGCAGAAATAAACACAAGGAAAGCAGTTAATGGGGGATCGAGGCATAAATTCTTAAAACGACCAGTCGGGTCGTTACAAATAGTCCTTTCACTTGATCATACACAAAATGCCATTGAAATTTAGGAAATAATTGAATCATACATATGTTTCAAACGTGCAAAAGTTATGGACCAATTCAGATAACAAACACTTTTAACTACATTGAAAGAAATTTGCGAGACTAGAAAAATATACATAAATTTCGGGAAATGAGTTTTTCTTTATGCTTCGTTATCAACTCGTGTAGCTACGAGATCATGCCAAAATGAAAGAAGGCTTAGCCTTAACATACCTGGAGTAGGGAAAATCCTTATGATATCCTTGAAAAAGGTACACCGTACTTTGTTAGAACCGCAAAAATTGGATTAAACTTCTGTTTCTTTGAATTTCTTGAACGAAACGTCAAGCTTCATGCTTGTTGAGATACTGAGAAAATTTCTTAGATTATGTTCTTTGAAATTTTCAAATCAAGAAGAATTGCATTCTTGCTTTATTTGAATCACTATGTTACTTGTTCTCATTTCCATAAGGAATTGTAAACAAGACTTTGGATAGTCATCTATTCCTTTTTAGCCTAGGTTGCCACCTAGGCATAAGTGACTACTTAGTCACTTCTTGGTTTCTGGCTCCTTGCCATGTGTTGGGGATAATTTATACATTTTTATCCACTTATTAGTTAACTGAGTAATGTTCTGTTATTCGGTAATTAATCAATTACTCGTATAATTTAAAAATTGCCCCAAATTACTTAAAATTATATTTATTTTTAAAATAATTTATATATATTTTATACATTATACTACCGTGGTCATATGGTACCTTGCATGGTACTAGTTTATAATTATCGGATATTATCACTTGATCCGTATTTTATCGCAAATTGGCCATTTTCAACGAAACTCGTTTTCTCTAATTTGTGCATCCTTTATCCTTCATAACACTTGTTTATCGCTTGTTATAAATAGCATAAATACGTTAATGTCAGGATGATATCATCCCCGACTCTACGTCAATTAACCGATGACAAAACTTTTAGCGTACGAAAACGCGAGATGTAACTTGATGAATGATGTTCAAGACAGGAGAAACTTTATGCTAAGTAGGTTCCACTCAGATGTACAAATTGAATATGATTGTTTAGAAATAAGGGGGTCTTATTAAACTTACTAACATATTAACTGAAACTCAAATGCAGCAGATATGATATTAGCCTAGTTCAAAAGAGATAACTTGATAATGACATAATACATACAAGAATAGTTATTGGGGGTTTTCATAGAGTTAACCTAATTGTTTTAATGAAACTGTTTCATATAACAAAGCTCACGAATATGATTATCATTTAATATAAACACAATACTTTCACAGTAATAACTCAGAGGTTGCTTTAGATTAACAAATGCTCGTGTGAAAAAAAAACACTTTAAACAATTAAACTTAACACACTTCAACGAAGCAAAGAAAGATTAAACATTGAACATTTCATATCCATCTTAGTTAAAATCATCAAATAACAACTTCAAGCACATAATAACAGACTGCACTGAATAGGGCTAGTGTGATAGGCATAAAGATCATAACATAACATTAGAGAAATCTGAAATCAGAGCGAGTATAAGAAGCTATAAGGACATATTAAGGAAATTAATTATAAATGTCATTTGATTTAGGGTAGTAGTAATCAAAGTCACATTATAACTCAACCAAACTGACTCGAGATTCATAAGAACAGTCAACCATAAATTAGTAACAAATTATTATAAGCTAGAACGAACAGTAATAAACTAGTGACAAACATTATAAACGAAAGCAATTAACAGAGATACAACAGTGCATCCATAACTTCAAACTAGATAATTAAAGGAGAAAGGGTAGAGGTATACTGACCTCGTTTGGTGCAGCAGACCAAACAAAGGTTCCACTCAGCCATATAAGGACCAAAGCTTCAAGCTTTGAGCAGTGAGAACTTAGAAACAAAAGAAACAGAAACTAATCAGAGACACACACACACAGAGAAAGAGAGAGAGAGACTAAGCTTTTGAAATCTAATTAGTTTTGATACTCGTATTAGGGTTTCTTAGTTCTCATTTTTTTATCTCCCCTTTAGATGAGAGCATTGGAAGGCTCTATTTATAGTGGCCATTAAAGCCGACCCGGTCATTTGTTTCATGAGTTACCACTCCGTTTCCCCCATTTCTGCTTCTTATTGTCCTGTTCAGCTGTATTATGTGATATCAGGTTGGTTGGTTCGCGTTCGGAGAGGTTTTGGAAAGGAATGAGACACTTAGTCTCTTTCGAGTAAAATTAGGTTGGAAAAGTCAACCGGATGTTCACTTATGTGAAAAAGGGCTCGGATGTGAATTCTGATAGTTCGGATAGCTTCGAAAGGTGATTTGAGCCTTAGGAGCGTGATCAGGATATGTTTTTGAGGTCCATAGTAAATTTAGGCTTAAATTGGCAAATTGTTGTGTTTTCTGGTTGATAGGTGAGATTTTGATATATGGGTCAGAATGGAATTTCGGAAGTTGGCATAGGTCCGTTGTGTCATTTGTGACATGTGTGCAAAATTTTAGGTCATTTGGATGAGGTTTGATAGAATTTTTGATCGAAAGCAGAATTTGGAAGTTTTTGGAATTCTTAGGCTTGAATCCGATATCAATTTGGTGTTTTGATGTTGTTTTGAGCGTTCCGAAGGTTGGAATATTTTGGCATGTTTGGTTGAGGTCCTGAGGGCCTCGAGTGAATTTCGAGTGGTTGAACGGATCAAATTCATGTTGGAAAAGTTGAAGAAAAATTGTTGTTGGTGTTGCAGACATTTGGCCTTCGCATTCGCGAGTAGGGTCTCACATTCGCGAAGGGTTAGAATGTGAGGCAGGAAGTTTGGCCTTCGGGTTCGCGATGTGTGTACCGTGTTCGCTAAGGATTAGGTGCAGTGTTCATTGCGAACACAATTAGTTTCCCACATTCACGTAGAGTAAATGGGAACAACTATGTCCAGGTTCATTGTGCTTCGCGTTCGTGAGCTACGGGTCGCGTTCGCGATGGGTTGACGAGATGAAGCTTCACGTTCATGTTCAGGATGTTACGTTCGCGATGGGTTGAGGAACTGAAGCTTCGTGTTCACATTCGGGATGTCGCATTTGCAAAGAAGTATTTAAGTGGTCAATGAATTTTGTGCTTCGCGAACGTGAGCCATTGACCGCGTTCGCAAAGAAGGAAAGGGTCACCTAGCCAAAATGTTTAAATAGCCATTGTCCTCTATTTTGGGTCTAAACTTCACCATTTTTGAGCAATTTTGGAGCTTTTTGCGAAGGATTGAAGAGGGAATCAAAGAGAAACACTTGGAGGTAAGATTTATGAACTTAATACTCGATCTTATTGTGATTTATACCTAATTGAACATGAAATTTATGGAATCTAAAGCCTAAAATTGGGGAGTTTGGGCTTGGAATTTTATTCTTTGATGTGAGGATTTGAGGGGTCGTTTGTGGTCGGACTTTGATGTATTTGATATGTATGAACTCGTGAGAGTGTAAGAATTCCAGTTTTGTCGTTTTTATCTGAATCTGAGACGTGGGGCCGGGGGCCGGGTTTGGCCAATTTCGGGATTTTTTGATGTAAATCGGTTATTTTTTAGTGGGCTTTGTTCACTTAGCATATTTTGATGGTATGAATCTATTTTTGGTTAGATTTAGAGCATCCGGAGGCCGAGTCAAGAGGCAAGGGCATCACAGGCTGGTGTTTGGACCGGATAGAAGTAAGTAATGATTGTAAATGCTGTCGTGAGGGTATGAAACCTCGGATTTCACATCGTTGTGCTACCTTGAGGTGACTCACATGCTAGATGATGAGCGTGGAGTCGTGCACTATTGGGGATTGTGACTTAGTCCGTCCCGTATGACTGTTAAACCGTGTATTTGATTAAAAATTATTTGATATCATTGTGTTTTGGAAAATATTATCATGTTTTTGGGCTAAATGCCATATTTGGGCCTCGTGCCAACTGTTTTGGACCCTTAGGGGATTTTACTACCATTCCTTACTGTTTTTACTTCATATTTGTACTCAGTCATATTGTATTCTACTGTTTTCATAACTCATCCATATTTACTTCATTTTGATACTTTAAATGATATTGTGGGCTGAGCATCATGTTTTACTGTTACCCAGGTGGCTTGATAGATTTCTGACTAAGTGGGGCCGAGGGCCTGCGTTGTGAGAATATTATGGGATCGGGCTGCACACCGCAGCAGTATTGTACTGATTCATGATTTTGAGGTCGAGGGCCTGATTTGTTACACATGTTCTATTCTACTCTATGTTTTGGGATTTTTAGCTTATTAATGACTTTAAATGGCTTATTATAATTGTTCGGTTGGTTTGGTGTTTGTGTCGGCTGTCCTAGTTTCACGATAGGCTCCATCACGATCGAGTCCGTTTTAGGGTCGTGACAAGGTGGTATCAGAGCCTAGGCTACATAGGTCTCACGAGTCATAAGCAGATTTAGTAGAGTCTCGCGAATCGGTACAGAGACATTTGTATTTATCCTCGGGGGGCTGTAGAACCTTTTGGAAAACTTCATATTCCTGAATTCTTGTTGTGCGAATATATTGATCCGAGTTCTATTATTCTATTCTCTCACATATGGTGAGGACACGTGCTACCGGTCAGGATGGATGACCACCAATACCACTAGCTGGAGCCACTAGAGGCCAAGGACGTGGTCGAGGCCGTGGTAGGGGCAGGGCTATAACCCGCACAGCAGATAGGGCAATACCTGCAGATCCACCAGCCGCCCCAATTTATGATCAGGTCCCAGTTATAGATACTCCAGCAGCACCAGCTCAGGCACGAAATGTGCCTATTATGATTCTAGGCCTTCAGGAGGCCTTGGCCCAGATTCTATCAGTATGCACTGGCCTAGCTTAGGCGGTCTCAGTCACTACAGCCACAGCTACTTCTCAGGCCGGGGGAGGCACTCAGACTCCCGTCGTTCGCACACCTGAGCAGGTCGTGCAGGGACATCAGACACTGGAGGCACCTCCAGCCCAGCTGATTACAGTTGTTCAGGACAATGTAGCTTCTATTATGCCAGAGGACAAGTAGTGCAGGTTGGAGAGCTTTGGTAGACTTGATCCTCCGACTTTCAGTGGTACAAAGGGCGAGGATGCCCAGGATTTCTTGGACAAGTGTTAGAGGATTCTTCATACAGTGGGTATTCTGGAGACCAGCGGTGTAGCATTTACTGCCTTTCAGTTTTCTGGAGCTACCTTCACTTGGTGGGAGATTTATGAGAGGCGTAGGCCTGTTGGTGCAGCACCCCTTACCTGACAGCAGTTCTCCGTTCTCTTTTTGGAGAAGTATGTGCCACAGTCTCGTAGAGAGGAGCTCCGTAGGCAGTTCGAGCAGTTGCATCAGGGAGATATGACTGTGACTTAGTATGAGATGAGGTTCTTAGAGTTAGCTCGTCATGTTGTTTGTTTAGTTCCTACGGATAGAGAAAGCATCAAGAGGTTCATTGATGGCCTCACATATCAGCTTCGGATTCTCATGACCAGGGAAAGGGTGTCTGGTGCTACTTTTGTGGAGGTTGTTGACATTGCTCGTGAGATTGAGTCAATTATTTGCTAGGAGCGAGATGAGAAGGAGGCCAACAGGCCTCGGGATCTGGTAGTTTTGGTGGTGCTCTTTCGAGGGGTTAGTTTTCGCACGGCAGAGGCCGTCTATTCAGACATGCTCAGTCAGCTCGGCCAGGTTATCGTGGGGGTATTATCGGGTCATGGTTCTCACAGTTCTCATCATGGCCATTCATCACTCAATGCCCTTCCAGCCCAGAGTTCGTCCCGTGCTCCATCAGTCTAGGGATCTTCTATGCCAGGTGCATCTGCTAGTCATTTCGATGCTAGGGGTTCCCTTCAGTCCCCATCTCCAGCACCAGGGAGTTGTTATGAGTGTGGAGAGTTGGTTCACATGTGGAGGCAGTGTCCTCATCGTCTTGGAGGTTCATCTCAGTAGAAGAGTCAGCCATCGGCTTTAGCGCCAGTTACTTCACCACCACCCACCCACCCAGCTAGTGGTGGAGGTCAGTCAGCTAGGGGTCGCCCCAGAGAGGGAGGTCGATCAGGTGGTGGTCAGGCCCATTTCTATGCACTCCCAGCTAGACTCGATGTTATTGCTTCAGATGCTGTGATTACAGGTATTGTCTCAGTTTGCCACAGAGATGCCTTTATGTTATTTGATCCTGGTTTCACTTTTTCATATGTGTGATCATATTTCGCTCGTTATTTGGATACGCCTCATGAGTCTTTTGTTTTATCTGTTCATGTATCTACTCCGGTGGGCGATACTATTGTTGTGGACCGTGTGTACCGGTCGTGTGTGGTGACTATTGGGGGTCTGGATACCCGAGTGGACCTGTTATTGCATTGTATGGTGGACTTTGATGTGATATTGGGCATAGATTGGCTATCTCCGTGTCATGCTATTTTGGACTATCATGCTAAGACAGTGACATTGGCTATGACGGGTGTGCCACGGATTGAGTGGCGAGGTTCGACTAATTTTGTCCCCAGTAGGGTGATTTCATTCTTGAAGGCCCAGCGGATGGTTGGAAAGGTTGACTTTCATATTTAGCCTTCGTGAGGGATGTCAGTGCAGAGACTCCTGTCACACCTCCTTTTTACCTACCCCGGAAAGGGGCATAAGAGAGTTTTTTCCAACTTAAAGTGATATTATTCGAAATGGGATTAATTATTCAATTCAAAGTCGCCACTTGGGATATTTTATTGGTGTCCCAAGTCACCGGTTTATTTTAAATCCCAAATCGAAGAAAATTCGACTTTCCTTTTGAAGTCTGTGAACCAGAAATTCTGAATAAGGAATTCTGTTAACTCGGGGGAAGGTGTTAGGCATCCCCGAATTCCGTGGTTCTAGCACGGTTGCTTAAGCTATCACAATTGGCCTATTATCTGATTTTAATACATGTTTTAGCCTATGGTTCAATTTCAACTTTACAACTGCTTTTATTTAATTATTTTTATGACAGATTCAACGTCATCTAAAACACGTCTTGAACCACGTCACATAAATGCACCCGCCGTCCACGACACATTTTATCTAATGTTGTTGAGATTTAGAAATGGGGCACATAAATGCACACCCCAGTTTAGGAAAGTAAATTAAATTACACGCCTAAAGCAACTACGCACTTCGAAACATTTTCTACACTAGTTAAAATATCGATATGAGGGCAATAGACTAGGTGATTTGATGGCAAACCTCAATTTTGTTAAAAGAAAAGCATTCAACTAAGTGAACTACAGATATTCATTTTCAAAACTAAGCATCACAACTACACCACGGGAATCGTACTCGTAATTGTGACGATTTTATTATGGGCCTAAAGAAAACTACGATGTTTGAATTATTTCCTAAAAAGCTAGTTCGATATAATAGTGAAAGGCCTGTGGTTATGAAATTTATTTGTGGAAGAAATATAGTAAATTATTTATGGAAATGTAAGCTAACCCAAGAATATTTAACGATTGGGCTAGTTAGAGCTCTTATGTATATTAAATCACTAGACTTAAATATCTTTGCCCATTTACCTTATCAGATTCAACTTAAAAGCTTTTGACAAGCATCTTTCCAAACATTCACTATACCAATTCAATAATGAAATAATACTAACTAAAAAGATACGCTCAAATAGCAATGCAGTAGATCCAAACCATAGAATATCCGGATTATAGTGATGTAAACGTGAGAAATAAGAAGATCGAATTAAAAAAAAATCATGCTTATCAGATACAAAGAAAAAGTTTATCCATGCTCAAAGATTCACAATCACAATCATCAAGGAAATGTATTAGCCAAGTATAAAATGAGAGATGGACCTTCAGGCAATAAACTTTCTTCAACGGGCCTTTATAAGAGCTTGATCCTTACTGGCCTTGAAAGTGAAACCGACAGGACCACGGCAACGGACCTCTTGACCGGAAACCTTCAACGTAGAACTCAAAACGGCGACCTCGCCCTTTAACCAGAATCGAGCGCAACTCGAACAACCTTAACTACACCTTACCGGAAGATGGCAAGTTGCTTTTAACAGCTTAAAAGACTGGGTAAATCCTTATACCTCAAAAGCAGAGTTGTCAAAATGGGTTGTCAGAATCAACGACTTGGTATAGCTCTAAGGACCCCATTTTCACGCCCGCACACACTGTTGTAGACCAACAAACAAGTGAGAAAAATACCTACGGCGAGAAACCAACGATATAACGGGAAATTCCAATATGTAAGGGGTTCGTTGATTTTCTTGGTTTGATGGCTTTTTTAGGAGTTGTCGGCCGATTTCCTTCTTTGGGAATTGGGGTTCTCTTTTTAGCTTGTCAAGAACTTACCAAATAAGGAAGGTGGACAAATTAAAAGAAAACCAGTCAGCTTGAGTTTAAGAGTGTAGATATTGTCTTGCACGACGAGCAAGATAGACGATATGAGCGTAGAAAATTTTTGTCTGCGGCCGCCGTTTTAAGCTTATTAGCTTTATTTTATAGGGTTAGGAATTAGGTTAGGGGTATGAGCCTAGGAATTATGGGCTTGAAAATTATGGGTTAGGTCCAAAATTAGGCCTAAAAGGGGTTGCTCGAGCCCAAGTTTTTATTCTTTTCACGAACGAGCCTTAAAATACGATCTCATTTATTAATTAATCCTACTTAAGTAAAGTAACCATTAAAATAAGACTGGCCGTTAAAACAAAACTATTTTTGGTATTTTTCAAGATTTAAAATGACTACAAAACATTAATGAACCTATTTTTTGTAATTCTCGTTTTATTGTAATAAAATAAGGTAAAAGAGTAAAAATGAGTTGAAATAGCTATATTAGGCCTAAAATAAATATTTACGTGCTAAAAATATAAAAATCTTGGGGAGAGTAAAAAATCACATGTCTACAGCTCCTAGTATTGATTCTATTCCTATTGTGAGGGATTTTTCCGATGTGTTTCCTGTAGACCTTTCGGGCATGCCACCGGACAGGGATATTGATTTTGGTATTGATCTGGTGTCAGGTACTCAGCCCATCTCTATTCTACCGTATCATATGTCACCAACGGAGTTGAAGGAGCAACTTCAGGAACTCCTTGATAAGGGGTTTATTCGGCCTAGTGTGTCTCCTTGGGGTGCACTTGTTCTATTTTTAAAGAAGAAGGATGGCACGATGAGGATGTGCATGGATTACAGATAGTTGAACAAAGTAACAATCAAGAACAAGTATCCTTTGCCTCGTATCGATGATTTCATTGACCAGCTTTAGGGAGCGAGAGTGTTCTCTAAGATTGATCTTCATTCAAGGTATCACTAGCTGAAGATCAGGGACTCGGATATGCTTAAGACAACTTTCAGGACCCAATATGGTCATTATGAGTTCCTTGTGATGTCTTTTAGGCTGACCAATGTCCCTGCAACGTTCATGCATTTGATGAACAACGTGTTTCAGCCTTATCTCGACTCGTTTGTGAATGTTTTCATTGATTATATTCTGGTATACTCGCGTAGTCAGGATAGCACGCGAAGCATTTGAGAGTTGTGTTGCAAAGATTGAGGGAGGAGAAGCTTTATGCAAAGTTCTCCCAGTGTGAGTTTTGGCTTAGTTTAGTGGCATTCTTGGGGTACGTGGTGTCTAGTGAGGGTATTCAGGATGATCCAAAGAAGATAGAGGCGGTTCAGAGTTGGCCTAGACCATCCTCAGCCATGGAGATTCGCAACTTTCTTGGTTTGGTGGGTTATTACCGTCGGTTTGTGCAGAGATTCTCATCTATAGCATCACTATTGACCAAGTAGACTCAAAAGGGTGCTCCATTCAGATGGTCGGATGAGTGTGAGGAGAGCTTTCAAAAGCTAAAGAGTGCCTTGACCACAACTCTAGTCTTAGTTTTGCCATCAGCTTCAGTTTCATATACCGTATATTGTGATGCTTCGAGAGTTGGTATTGGGTGTGTGTTGATGCAGGAGGGTAGAGTTATTACTTATGCTTCTCGTCAGTTGAAGCCCCATGAGAAGAACTGCCCTGTTCATGATTTGGAGTTGGCTGACATTGTTCATGCGTTGAAGATTTGGAGGCATTATTTGTATGGTGTGTCTTGTGAGGTGTTTACTGATCATCGTTGCCTCTAGAACTTGTTGAAGTAGAAGGATCTCAATTTGAGGCAGTGGAGATGGTTGGAGCTGCTAAAGGACTATGATATCACTATTTTGTACCATCCGGAGAAGGACAATATGGTGGCCGATGCCTTGAGTATGGGAAGTTTGGCATATATTCTTGTTGGGGAGAGACCTCTTGTAATTGATGTTCAATCCTTGGCCAATCGGTTCGTGAGGTTAGATATTTCGGAGCCCAGTCGGGTATTGGCTTGTGTGATTTCTCGGTCTTCCTTATGTGATCGCATCAAAGAGCGCTAGTATGATGATCCTCATTTGCTTGTCCTTAAGGACAAAGTTCAGCACAACAATGCCAGAGATGTGACTATTGGTGATGATGGGGTATTGAGGATGCAGGGCCGGATATACGTGCCCAATATATATGGGTTTTGGGAGTTGATTCTAGAAGAGGCTCATAGCTCGCGGTATTCTATTCATCAGGGTGTCGTGAAGATGTACTAGGATATGAGACAACATTATTGGTGGAGGAGAATGAAGAAAGACATTGTGGGATTTGTAGCACAGTGTCTCAATTGTCAGCAGGTGAAATATGAACATCAGAGACCGGATGGCTTGCTTCAGCAGATGGATATTCCAGAGTGGAAGTGGGAGTGGATCATCATGGACTTTGTAGTTGGGCTCCCACGGACTTTGACGAAGTTCGACACTATTTGGGTGATTGTGGATCAGCTGACCAAGTCCGCGCACTTCATTCCTGTGTGTACTACCTATTTTTCAGAGCGGTCGGCAGAGATATATATCCGGGAGATTGTTCGTTTGCATGGTGTCTTAGTTTCCATCATTTCAGATAGGGGTACTTAGTTTACTTCATAGTTTTGGAGATCCGTACAGCGAAAGTTGGGTATTCAGGTTGAGTTGAGCATAACGTTTCACCCTCAGACTAACGGGTAGTCCGAGCGCACTATTTAGATATTGGAAAATATTTTGCGCGCTTGTGTCATTGATTTGGAGGGTCATGGGATCAGTTTCTACCGCTCGCAGAGTTTACTTATAACAACAGTTATCAGTCGAGTATTCAAATGGCTCCAATGAGGCTTTGTATGAGAGACAGTGTAGATCTCCGCTCGGTTGGTTTGAGTCGGGTGAGGCTAGGCTATTAAGTACAAACCTGGTGCAAGATGCTTTAGACAAGGTGAAGCTGATTCAGGAGAGGCTTCGTGCATCGCAGTCGAGACAAAAGATTTATGCTGACAGGAAGGTTCGTGATGTGTCCTACATGGTTGGTGAGAAGGTTCTATTGAAGGTTTCACCTATGAAGGGTGTTATGATATTTGGGAAGAAGGGTAAATTAAGTCCTTGGTTCTTTGGGCCTTTTGAGGTGCTTCAGAGGATTGGGGAAGTGGCTTATGAGCTTGCTTTGCCACCCAGCTTATGGAGTGTGCATCCGGTATTTAATGTTTCTATGCTCCGGAAGTATATTGGCGATCCGTCTCATGTTTTGGATTTTAGCACGGTTCAGTTAGATGATGATTTGACTTATGATGTGGTGCCAGTAGCTATTTTGGAGCGTCAGGTTCGAAAGTTGAGGTCAAAGGATATAACTTCAGTGAAAGTGCAGTGGAGGTGTCGGCTCGTGGAGGAGGCTACCTGGGAGACCAAGTAGGAGATGCAGAGCAGATATCCTCACCTATTTGAGGCTTCAGGTATGTTTCTTGACCCGTTCGAGGACGAACGTTTATTTAAAAGGGGAAGGATGTATCCTTCCCGGCCAGTCGTTTTATGAGTTACCGCTCCGTTTCCCCCATTTCTACTTCTTACTGTCTTGTTCAGCTATATTATGTGATATCGGGTTGGATGGTTCGGGTTTGGAGAGGTTTTGGAAAGGAATGAGATACTTAGTCTATTTTGAGTAAGCTTAGATTGGAAAAGTCAATCGGATGTTGACTTATGTAAAAAATGGTTCGGATGTGAATTCCGATAGTTCGGATCGCTACGGAAGGTGATTTGGTACTTAGGAGCGTGATCGGAATGGGTTTTGGAGGTCCGGAGTAGATTTAGGCTTGAATTGGCGAAATTGGAATTTTGGCGTTTTCCGGTTGATAGTTGAGATTTTTATATAGGGTTCAGAATGGAATTCCGGAAGTTGGAGTAGGTTCATTGTGTCATTTGTGACGGGTGTGCGAAATTTCAGGTCATTCAGATGATGTTTGATAGACGTTTTCATAGAAAGCGGAATTTTGAAGTTTTTGGAATTCTTAGGCTTGAATCCGATGTCAATTTGGTGTTTTGATGTTGTTTTGAGCATTCCGAAGGTTGGAACAAGTTTGAATGAGATTATAGGATATGTTGACATGTTTGGTTGAGGTCCCGAGGGCCTCGGGTGAGTTTCGGGTGGTTGAACGGATCAAATTCATGTTGGAAAAGTTGTAGAAAATCTGTTGTTGGTGTTGTCGACATTTGGCCTTCGCGTTCGCGAGTGGGCTCTCGCTTTCGCGAAGGGTTAGGGTGTGAGGTAGAAAGTATGGCCTTCACGTTCGCAATGTGTGTCCCACGTTCGCGAAGGGTTAGGTGCAGTGTTCATCGCGAACGCATTGAGTTTCCCGCGTTCGCAGAGTAAATGGGAGCAGCTGGGTCCACGTTCATTGTGCTTCGCGTTCGCGAGCTATGGGTCGCGTTCGCGATGGGTTGAGGAGCTGAAGGTTCGTATTCGCATTCAGGATGTTGCATTCGTAAAGAAGGATTTAAGTGGTCAATGGATTTTGTGCTTTGCGAACGTGAGGCGTTGACCGCGTTCGCGAAGAAGGAAAGGGTCACCTCGGCAGAATGTTTAAATAGCCATTGTCCGTGATTTTGGGTCTAAACTTCACCATTTTTGAGCGATTTTTGAGCTTTTTTAGAAGGATTGAAGAGAGAATCAAAGGGAAACACTTGGAGTTAAGATTTATGGACTTAATACTCAATCATATTGTTATTTATACCTAATTAAACAGGAAATTTATGGAATGTAAAGCGTAAAATTGGGGAGTTAGGGCTTGGAATTTAAGACTTTGATTTGAGGATTTGAGAGGTTGTTTGTGGTCGGATTTTGATGTATTTGATATGTATGAACTTGTGAGACTGTAAGGATTCAAGTATTGGGATTTTTATTGGAATCTGAGACGTGAGCCCAGGGTCAGGTTTGGCCAATTTCAGGATTTTTTGATGTAAATTGGTTATTTTCGAGTGGGCTTTGTTTCCTTAGCATATTTTGATGGTATGAATCTGTTTTCGGTTAGTTTTGGAGCATCCGAAGGCTGAGTCGAGAGGCAAGGGCATCGCGGGCTAGAGTATGGACCGGATAGATATAAG